TGATGATGCATTTACATTTGACAATCATTGAATTGCTTCCTTGGAGAACTTACCGAAAGTTTTTTACATGATCATCCACCGTAGTTAATTCCAGCGCACTGTCAATGGCATTAATATAGTAGAGTGCCTGTGCAGATGACCCCCAGTTTACCTCTGTTGTACAAGCAAAAAAAAAACCCCACATCACTTTTAGTTTCTACATTTAACAGAAGTCGTTTTACAGATACCGTATTTTCGATCCGTCATAACAAGAGGTAGTATTTGGTGTTTATATGTGGAATGCTACATGTGAGTTGTGATCTTATGCTCAGCTAGTGGAAGTAAGCCTTATTGAATTTTTTGTCAGTATATGCAGACCCCTTCAAAGGGGTCACCAATTTTCCCTGTGAACTGTAAGTAGCATTTCCTGCCTTCTTGTCAGTCCTTCAAGGTAGGCCAGATCAAGAAACAGACTTTGCAGAGATTCCGGGAATACTACTGTTGTAGGGTATAATAAGGGAATCTTGTAAGCCTTTCAGAGTTTCCTTCTGCCCCATCTTCATCAGCCACTGCATGGAGGAAGTACCAAAGCCATCTCTCAGGGCAATTGTGAGGGGCTGTGGGGACAGGAGATATGGCAAGAGGAAATACCAAAATCTGGGAGGAAGGGTGAGGGGTGAGTTTCCATCAGTAGGAAATCACCCAACCTGGAGCTTTAGAGGAAATGCAGCAATCCAGTCTTTGTGGCATTTCCTCTAGAACAGGAGCCAAGACAAGGGCAGAAGCTAATAGTCAACAGGAGCTGGCCCCTATGTTTGCATGGGGGAACCCCAAGGAATGGCACCAATTTCAGATCAGCACAGTCCCCCCACGTGGCCTGAATTTGAAGATGTAAAGCTTTTGGAACAGCTGTCTTATGAGAGGTTCTTTGATCTTCTAACCAGTCTTACCAGATAGAAGTTCACTTTGGTTTAAATAATCGATTCTCTCTTGCTTCTGTGCAACATAGTGAAAATAGATATTAAAGCAACTTTTTAGACATTTAGTTATCTCAATGTCTTCAACATTCTGTTGGTCCTGGAAGTTCATGAGATCATTTGTGGTGGGTTTGGTTATTTACATCACTTACAAGCTTATTTGCTTCTGCCCAATTTAGAGGATTTTCCAAGACTGAAGACTCCACTATCTTATTTGAAGGAAGCCCTGCCTGGCTTCTGAACTGTTATCCAACCTGCTGCCAAATTTCATGATTAAGGAGAATGACAACTTTCCAAAAGCAAAGTGTGATACCTAGTTATTTGTTTCTTATGTGAACCTAACACTGCATTAATGTTTTCCAGCTTCTCAGAATCACATAGCTCATAACGTAATATTTCATAGGGAAACAGAGGCCCGTCGAATAAAGAAAAAGTATAGAAAGCAAACGTGTTTTAATCTTGCACAAGTGAGATGCAAACCAAATAAATATTGTTTCCTGTGGATAAGGGGATCCACAGAAAGTGAAGGTGAGGGTGTAGCTACTAGACTTCTAGATCAAAAAAACCAGGCAACAAGGTTTTAGTTAATTCCAGTGCTCTGTGAAAAAGGGCTATGCTGTTCGACTCATAAAAACCTCATTAGAAGCAATATGTTGGCAGTCTAGAAAGAAATAGTTTTTCAAAAGCTACCGTTGGAGATACCTCCAGAGATTTTTTCCCCCCCTAACAGGAGAGAAAGAACATGCCAGATTAAAGTGGCAGAAGCCACCTGACAGATAGGATTAGTTAACAGAGATGTGAATACACGGCGTTCTTAGGGGAAAAAAGCGTGTGCGTGTTTGAAATCTTTTCCACCGAGCTGCATTAAAAAGCGCCCTAGGGAAAAGGAGAGGAGTGAAGAAGGGGAGAATTGAAATCAGAATGTTCTTTTTCTTCTTCTTTTTTTAATAATTCCTCTGGGAACATCCCTTGGTAACTAAATTAGACATG